ACGATCCTCTTCCAGGTCTTGCATGCGGGTGCAGGGTCCCAAGGCTTTGGGCTGTCCTCAACTGCTTTCCCAGGTCACAGGCAGGGATCTGGATGGGAAGTGGGACCGCCAGGATTAGAACCAGTGCCCATATGGGATCCCGGGGCGTGCAAGGTGAGGACTTTAGCTTCTAAGCTACTGCTCCAGGCCCTACTTTATATCTTTTTTTCTGTTTTTCCATTACTGTCTTTTTCCTGTGTTAAACAGATGTTTTTGCTTTACATTTTAAAAATCCTCCATTACATGTCGTTTTCCAAGTGGTTGTCCTATGGATTAAAAGTGACATCTTAATTTACAAAAATCTAGTTTGAATTAATACAGATTAATTTCAGTTGTATATAAAAACTGCCCCTGTATGGCTTTGTGCTCTGTCCCCTTCCCTGTACTGCTATTGTCATATAAATTATATTTTTATATGTTATATGTACATCAGCACAGGCTTATGAAATTATTGCTTTATATTTTGTGTCTTTTACATCAGAGAGAGGAGATGGGGGAGTCATTAGCAATAAATGTATGCTCTTTATTTCTTCATATGGAAGCAGTCTTGATTTAAACTTGAAGAGCTCCTTTTAGTTGTAAACAAGAAGGTCTGCTAGGTCTGCTAGTGACACATTCTTTCAGTTTTTATTTATCTGGGATTGCCTTAGTGTTTCTTCATTTCTGAAGGGTCCCTTCCCTGCCTGTAGGATTCTGGATTGTCAGTGTTTTTTCTTTCAGTACATTGTACACCCTGTTCCTGGACTTACACTGGGGCTACATCTGATTAGCCCATCATAAGTTGAAAATATTAAGTCCAAACTGCATCACTCACACTTTCCTGTTCATTTCCTCAGGTTTCATAAACGTAATTTCTGTCTTCAAGTTTACTGATTCTTTTTCTGCCGATTCAGAACTGCTGTTGAGCCCATTTAGTGTCTTTCGCTTCTGTTGCTGTGCTCCTTCAGCCTCAGAATTTCCATTCAGTTTGTTTTCTTCTCTCTCACGGTTTCTGATGCTTTACTGATGCTCTGTTGAGTGAGGCAGCATTGACATACTTTGCTTTCATTCTCATGACATAATTGGCCTGACTTCACTGACCAGTTGAAACAGCTGCTTTGGAGTGTGCATCAGGAAGTTCAGTAACTGGGTTTCACAGTGAGTCTGTGTTGCTCGCTTTTCTTTCCACTTATGGGCCATACTGTTTTGTTGTATGACTTGTATTTGTATGGTAAAAACTGAGTACTTTATTTAGTATGATGCCGCAATTCTAGAAATTAGGTCCTTTTCCATCCCAAGGGTTTGTCATAAAATAGCCCCTGTAGTCTCTGCTAGGTTACCTTAGAGCAAGTGCTATTACCTGCCTGGAACCAGTAAGTTCCCCTGTCTTTGTCGTTGGACTCTGCATGCCTGTAGGGCCATGCCTTCAGCTGTCCCTCAGCTTTCCATTATTGCTGACATCAGATGATTTCAAATGCAATGATACTTTTGAAAAACGTAAGCCTACATTTGCCATCCTTTATCATTCACTGTTTTGATAAAATTGTTTGCTTGTTTGCAAGCACAGGCCTGTCCTGACTTACATCTAACTTACATGTGAACACTGAACTTGTCTGGGGATCTCCCAACCACCGCCATGGAGCCCATGTTAAAAAAAGTAGTTTTCCTTTTTAGAAAATTTGTAGTTTCACAAGAAAAACAAAGTTTTTTTTTTAATTAATCAGAAATAGTCTTGAATGATGAAATCCAAGCACACTTGCTTCAGAATTAGTTGGATTGTTAAAATTCAGGTTTCCGCTCCCAGCCTGAGTCTTTTGAGTAAGAATATCTGGAGTATGTCCCAGTGGATGTCCATTGTGAACACACCTCTCACCTTCCAGCTGAGTCTTCTTTGAACTGGTGTTGAGAATCTCCTTAGGGGAGATGATGCGACCGATGTGTTCACACGGAGGAATGACTGGCCCCTGACACTACTTGTCCTCAATTATTGGTCTCTTCCTTTCACAGTCTTCGCAAAGTTCACTTAGCTTTTGTGTTCCCTCAAAGTCCACCAATTATGCATTTGTGTACATCTACAAGGGTCTATATTTTAAGTCTCCAGAGTCAAGGAACTAACATCACCTCACATTTTTAATTAGTTAAATCATATTACATTTATCCAAACAGCTATATAAGATGATTTGACAAAGACAGAAGGGGAATTTTGTTGATTTGAGAGGATAGTTTTTGTGGAATCCACGAGTGTATAAAAGAACAGGCCCATGTTAATTTATGCACTAGAAGCACACGTTGAGGGAGAGTGATAAGCAGGAGGAAGGCATATGAGACAAACCAGGGTTCACTTGTCTACTTCAGGATAATGTGCCGAGAGCTGCCATGCAACAGAGTTCGCTTTCGGGCATCTCATTATGAAGTCTGGGGGTATAACTCCCTTTGGCTTTATATTTAACTAAGCAGAATGTGTAGATTTTCTGTGCATTTTGTTCTTTTGTTCTTTTTCTCTATTTTATTCTTTGAGCTTTTTTTTTTTAATGTATTTCAAAAGGCAGAGATAAGGAGAGACAGAGATCTTTCTTCTGCTGGAACACTCCCTAAATGGCAGCAGTGGTCAGAGCTAGGCCAATGCATAGCAAGGAGATTCTTCTAGGTTTCCCACATGGGTGCAGTGTCTCAAGGAGTTGAATAATCCTCTGCTACTTCCCCAAGCACATTGGCAGAGAGCTGGATAGGAAGTGGAGCAGCCAGGATGCAACTGCTACCCATATGGGAAGTTTGCACAACAGGCCCAGGATCAGCCTGCTCTGCCGCAGTGCTGGTCCCATGTTTTTCTCTCCTTTGAATATTGCCTTTTCACTCAAGATCCAGATCTGATCAGTAACATTCCCAGTAAGAGATGACATCTATCACTCTAGAGTCAGACATGCTTTTTGTGTGTTGTCTGGAACTACCACCTAACTACCCTTTAGAAGTTATCTCCTGATTTCCTTATAAACAGTACACTTCAGGGCTGACATTATTATTAGTGTCAACCTTTTCAGCTGTTCAGCTGTTAAGCTGCCAGTGGCATCCCACACTGTAGCACCTGTTCAGGTCCCAACTGCTCAACTTTTCATTCGGCCCCATGCTAATGCCTCTAGGAAAACAATAGATACTGGCCTGAACCCTTCGAACTTCACCACCCATGTGGGAGACCTAGAGAAAGTCCTTGGCTCCTGCTCTCAGCCTAGTCCAATCCCATCTATTGCAACCATTTGGGGGAGTGAACCAGTGGAAGAAAGATCTCTCTCTACTCTCTCTCAGTTTCTATCTCTCGCTCCATTTCTCTTACTCTGCTTTTCAAATAAGGAAATAAATAAATCTCAATAAAGAAATAACACTTCCTAATGAGCTTTTTGATGCAACTCATTTGAGAGTTCAGGTATATAATATACATATTATTTTAAAATTCTAAGCTGATTTCTCCCAACCACCCTGTGCCCTGAGGATTTTTCCTTGAGATTTTATTTTTTTAAAGAGTTATTTGTTTATTTTTAAAGATTTATTTTTACTATTTTTTCATTGGAAAGGCAGATATACAGAGAGGAGAGACAGAGAGGAAGATCTTCCGTCTGATGATTCACTCCCCAAGTGAGCGCGACGGGCCGATACTATGCCGAGCCCAAGCCAGGAGCCTCTTCCGGGTCTCCCACGCGGGTGCAGGGTCCCAAAGCTTTGGGCCGTCCTCAACTGCTTTCCTGGGCCACAGGCAGGGAGCTGGAAGGGAAGCAGGGCTGCAGGGATTAGAACCGGCGCCCATATGGGATCCCGGGCGTGCAAGGCGAGGACCTTTAACCACTTGCGCCACCGCGCCGGGCCCTATTTATTTATTTTTATTAGAAAGGCAGATATACAGAGAGAAGGTAATACAAAGAGAAAGATATTTCATCCACTGGTTCACCCCCTAAAAGGCCAAATGGCTGGAGCTAAGCCAATCTGAAGCTAGGAGCTTCTTCTGGGTCATCCACATAGGTGCAGGGACCCAAGACTTTTGGCTATCATCAACTGCTTTCCCAGGCTACAAGCAAGGAGTTGGGAGGAAGTGGAGCAGCCAGGAATAGAACCTGTGCCTATATGAGTTCCTGGTGCATGCAAGGCAAGGACTTCAGCCACCAGACTATGGTGCAGGACCCTCCTTGAGGAGTTTTGCATTTAGCCAATACATATCCTCTTTAGGGAAGGGTACAGATCCTTATGAAATACAATATGTGAGTCAGCGTGGACTCACACATACCTTACTAGGTAGGACACAAAGAGTAAGTACTCCTCACTAAGGTATTGAAGATTTCTCTGCACACCCCTCCTATAACTGTTTTGTACCTCAATTGTTGAAATGTCAATGCAGTAGTCACAGGATGTGGTTAAGAACTTGCATTATTTTTAACATATTGTTTACTCAATACTATGTCAATTAATTTCATAACGTTAAAAATTGTTGCTGACGTTATGTTGGGGCTTTTAATTGATCGGGATTTTACTCTGTTGGCTCTACCTTCAGACCAGAGAAGGTCTCCCCAAGAAGCCGTTGAACTTACCCGGACAATAAGATGATGGACTGTATGCTTGGTATATGCTTGCAATGAAGGAATCTCAACTGAACTTGAACTGTGGTTACGCAACAAGGTGGAGGAATCCACCATAGGGGGAGGGTTGTGGGAGGGGTGGGGGGAATCCCAGTACCTATAAAATTGTGTCACATAATACAATGTTATTAATTTTTTAAAATGGCTAAAAATATAATATAATAAAAAAAGAAACATGGTTTTGAAAATTATTTCATGTTTTAGATTTTTTTTTTTAACTGACCTTATCTCTGCTAATGAAAGTAATTGAGAGATTTTCTTTCTTTCTGAAATTCGGCTCAGTGTAGAATCCATTATTCTGCCTTAGGTCTCCAGAATTCTATTGCAAATGAATAGTAAATTGCATTTCTTATTTCCCTGCAGGTATTGCCCAGCGATGCACAGCTATCAAGTACCACTTTTCACAGCCCATCCGCTTACGAAACATTCCTTTCAATTTAACCAAGACAATACAGCAAGATGAATGGCACCTGCTTCGTAAGTATTTCTGGGAAATGGCCCAAGAGGAAATGGTGGCTCTCTGGACAGAAAGTGCTCCAAGGCCCCTAGACTGAGATGTGATGTACTCCTCTGTGTACTCCTCTGGGCCCAGCCAGCCCTCACCAGAGACTCCAAGGATCATTTCACTGCACTGTGGACACACCCTGCTTACCAGTGCAGGGGTGGGACTCTGTGAAACAGTGTGCCTGTCTGCCCTGGTGCTTTCTCACACAGCAGCCAACAAGAGTCCCGAGCTATGAGGATTTGCTTATACACCCATCCTAGGGATCCAAGAAAATTATACCTTACATGCTCTCGTTTTCTGTTTTGTTTATACAATATTTACTTTCGCTACTGTGTGTATCTCAGATGTCGGCATTTCTGCTAGAACATCTTCATGAGTGTTAGTTACGTTGTAATTTTCTCAGAGGGTGTCAGTTAACCTTTACCTTTCAGTGGAAGGAACTGCTCTTTTTCACTGTCAGGGAAACCTGAAACTCTAGGGAGCGACATGCAGTGTGAAACTAAAGAAGGCTGATAGCTACCCAAAAACGGTTGATTCAAGTAGCCTGCTGATGGATAGTTCCATCAGCAAAAAAAAAAAAAAAAAAAAACAGAAAAAGAATAAAAAAATACCAAGCTGTCTTAGTCACCCCAAGCAGTAGATAGTAGATATGTCATCATTTTCCAATAAGATAAGTAGCAACAGCCCAAGTGACCTTGTTTGATGACCAAAGCCACAGAAGAAATGCAAGCTGAGTCTCATTCCATACGCAGACCCCGGTGCAAACCAAAAGGCTCCACTAGAAATCCCAAACACTTGCACGCAAGCTCTCCTGGGGTTGCTCCAGTGACGGTCTCATTGTGAGCAGCAGCTTTGCGACTTGGAAAGTCATTGGTCTATTTTTGAACAGTGTGGGTTCCTGAAAGTTCTTTCTCACTGGTAGATGTTAATCACAATTTCTCAGCAGGACAGAGTGTCTTGTTTAGGCTGTCTGACATCTTCATTCTTTTGAGTGTGTTTGGAGTTGTTGGTCATAATCATCTATCCAAAGAGCCACATAGTTAATGGTCTTAATCAAGTGAGAAAAAGAGCGTCACAGAATCCTGAGCAAAGATCTCATCCCTTAAAAAAAAAGATTTATTTTATTTGAAAAATAGATTTTAAAGAGAGAGTAAGAGACAGATTTTTTTTTCATCTGCTGTTTCACTCCCCAAATGGCCACAATAGCTGGAGCTTCTTTCTGGGTCTCCAATGTGGGTAGAGGGGCCCAGGTACTTGAGTCATACTTTGCTGCCTTCTCAGGTCATAAGCAGGAAGCTGGATCAGCAGTGCAGCAGCCAGGACTTGAACCAGCACTCCTGAGATTCCTGCACTGCAGGCAGAGAATTAGCCTGTTACACCACCATGCCAGCCCCAGAATCTCATCTCTTTATTCTGAGAGTTTGAGTACCATCAGTATCCAATAAGGTAGTATTTGAGCATTCTTTTCATAATTCTTCTCAGGGTTCTGAGGAAGTGATGCTCTTAACAGGAATCTTTCCAATCAAGTCACACTTAGTGATCTGTGCCACATTTCCTGGAGAAGCTTAGCATGTCTGGTACCAATGCTAATCCCATGTGACAGGGATCCCATCTCTACCTTGTGTTTTGTAACAGTCCTGCAAAATAGAAACATCACTCAAACCACAGGGAATTTGAAAGTTGGTGAGATAATGCTGGCTATACCTGCTCAGCTGTGGGTGTCTCCAGACCACGTACAGCCTTACCATGGAACTCAGCGGCTTGCAATTATTGCTCATCCTGGCCCTCTGCTCTGCGTGTTTCTGTTTCCTCCTCTAGGCAGAGAGGCACTAATTGAATTTGAGTTCTCTGAGCTGGAGATGAAAACTCTCCTTTGAGAAACAGAATGATCAGTGTGTAGCTGGGATGTTAAGAGACAGACCGGTTGCTGCTGTCATCCATTCTATAGGCCACACCCCTAAGATGCCCAGGAATTGCACCAACCTGTGAGGAGACAGCTGCCCAGCCTCTTCCACACTTCAAAGAGTGCAGCGTGCGCTTTGTTGAGGCTCCGAATGGGCATTTGCCCAGACCTGTTGCCTGTCCTCAGGGACAACAGCGCTGCGCTGTTGTCTGAATGATGGGATCTGCTGCTTCAAAGAGACTCATAGACATTGAGCTAATGATGTTTCAAATCAGTTTTGTTCTTAAAGTGAAAAGAGGAGGAAAGAAATTGAAGGGTGAAAGAATAACCAGCAGATGGACCATGGGAATGTTATTTCTGCAATGGGAAGACAAGTATCCAGATACATGTGGCCAGTTTTTGCAACAGACGGGCTCCTGTGGGTGGCTTGTCCCATGAGGACAGTCGCTTCCTCAACCTGAGTTATGGATGTTTGGGTTTTAGGGGAAGGTGTACTTACAAGCTCATGTCTCACTTGTGTGCTTTGGGCCACTGTCTCAATCATCTCAATTGCCTTTGCCTGTCTCAAATAATTTTTGGCCATAGGTAAGAGTAGTTGTAAATGAAAACAAATGACTGGAATCCATGGTCTGCGGATAAAATTCTGTTTCACTACGGCTCCATTTTGAGAATCCTCCCCCAAAGCCAGATACATTCTTAGTCATTACAGTGGTATCAATCTACATTTCTATTGCTGCTATTTACAGCTAATGAAGATATTTCTCAGTCTTCCTCCCTCCCAGTTTACTGAGATATACTGGCTAGCTGAGTTTCCCTAGGGCTGTCTCCTCCTCCACTCTCTACTTGCCATGACTTTCTCCACAGACTTACAGAGGCTGGACTGTGACCCCTCCTCTGGTTACACCCCATCTGTGCTTTCGCAAAATGCCAGGGAAGAGCATTCCTTGGCTATCGTCACCTGTCACCTGTGAGCCCTAACCCTGTCTGTGTTACTTACCAGTTGTCATCACACATACAATGTACACAGAGCTCTTGGTTCTTTCATTTTCAGTCGCTTTCCTGTCTCTTCTGATTGTGAATGTGTCTTTCTGTTTCAAAACTAGATTTGAGAAGAATCACAGCTGGCTTCCTGGGCATGGCTGTCGCTGTCCTCCTGTGTGGCTGCATTGTGGCCACAGTCAGTTTCTTCTGGGAAGAAAGCCTAACCCAGCATGTGGCAGGACTGCTGTTCCTCATGACAGGTATGTTGCACACCTTGTGCCACCTCTCCCTGCCAAGGTGAAGGCTGCTCTGTTAGTGTTGCTTCCAGCTGTGAAAAAAGCCACCCGAAGGTCATTTGACGTAGCTGGGTAATTCAGAATTCCAAGAAAACAACAAAATGCAGCACCAATTGCTCCATCATGGTTTGCTAGTAGCTTTAATCTCTGCATGAGCCAGGTTTGTATTTTTCCATTTTATTCTTTCATGCTGCACCAAAACCTCAGTCCAGTCTCTGGGTGAACATGAGCCATTAATTATAAGGAGCCGTCCAGGAGAGACAAGCTTATAGACCATCCTAACTCATTCCTGGCCGAGAGTTCAGTAGATGGCTTAGTGGTGATGACATGGGCACCATTTCTGTCTATAGGATGCTTCCAAAAGCTCACAGAAAATGGTGTTGAAAGATATGTTGACTTTGATGTACAAGGATGAAGGTTACTGATTTGATGGGATAAATGGCATGTGCTACCATGAGAATCACTTATTGCTCAAGGTGCATTTTCTGTGAACTTCTTGAAGTGCCCTCACCTAAAACCATTATCTGCTTCCCTCCATAGATATTCCCTTGAGGGCTTGCTATGCATCAAGCATACAAAAAGCGAAGCAGACAAGATTCTTGGCCATTTTTCCTGTGAGGAGACAAACACAATGATTGGTGATCACAAGCAAAGCTGTGATCAAGTAGGGGGTTGGGCAAGGCTTCACTGAGGTGTGATTTCTAAGCTAGATCCTGAGAAGCAGCCATCCGTTGGGAGTGTGCTGCTGGCTGTGGAAGCCACTAGTCCTCAGCTGAAGGCCAGGAGGGTCAATTTGAACTATGGAAAGAAGAGCAATGTGGTTGGAAAGAGTGAAGGGAGGGACCCATCGCAGTGGAAGACGCAGGCGGTGGCTGAATCTTCATTCCTTTTATTTATTTCAATAAAGAGTTATGGAGAGAGGGGATGTAAGTAAGAAAAAGAGTAAGAGAGAGAGAGAGAAATCTTCCATCCATTGGTTCACCACACAAACGGCCACAATGATTGGGTCACTGTGCCGGTGTGGGAGACCTGGGTTGAGTTCTGAGCTCCTGGCTTTGTTTTGGCCCAGCCATGGTTATTGTGGCCATTTGGAGGATGAACCAGCAGAGAGATCTTTGTCTCTCTGCCTTTCAAATACATTTTTAAAATAAATAAAAAAATTTAAAGGCAAAATTTGAGTAAGCCACGAAAGCAGCATACAAAGAGACTGTGCTAGCCAGAGGATTTCTTGAAACCTGTGTTGGTGCTTAATACTCATTAGTATTCCCTGCCCCTTTATTAGCTGTACCCCAGTTTTCCAGATTCTTGTCTCTATATACATCCAAAAAGAAGAAAAACTACAGATTTGCTTCTGTCATCCCTGGCAAGAGACATCACAACCCATTGTCAGGAACAATGAGAGAGGCTCTGGGTTCTAGAAACTACTCCTGTGGAGTAAAACACTTTATTGAAAGAACACGTTTATTACAAGAATACTTTTAATACAGGTAGTACTTGGGATAGTGTAAGATGTTCTTAGCGTGTAAAATAGTTGTTAGCATTAAAACAAGTCACAAGTCATGAAAGCTCAGTGAATGAATGGTCCTTGGGAAGCTGAGGGGCCAGCCTAGAAGGAAGGTGAATGTTCACCCCTGGGTTCACCCTGACAGCCAGGTGACATACAGAGGTACTTCCAAACATCTGAAACTCATGCAGAATTTTTTTTTTTCACAATATATATTTTCAGTGAACTCTTTGAGAACTCCTATTTATAAATGTAATTCAAGAAAATGATTGCCCTCAAATAAGCTTATTTGAATTCTGTTTTTCATGAACTTTTTGGGGTAACCTTGTATTTATTCATGTAGTGCCTTGCTATGGAATTTAGAGATGGTCATTTTGTTTTTGCTACTGCAAATCTCACCTTTGGAATTTCCTTTGGAGTCGCTGAGATAGCAGCATTAATCTGGTGTGTGAGATAAATTAGCTGTAGGACCTTCACATGCAGTAGCAGACAGAACAGAGAGGAGTGAAAAGAATTGATTTTAATTAAGCAGAATGTCTTCAGCAGTTCCAGTCAGCTCCCGCCCACAGATTTTTGATGCTAAACATAGCCCCATCTAAAGTGCTGGCATCTTCATTCTGTGCCTGAACTTCAGTGAAGAACGGCAGTGATGTGACAGTATGCACTGGTGAAACACAAACTTTGGAACCTTTCTCCTTCAGCCTCTTTGTCTGCAGTAGCGCTTTAGTACCTATATGTGGAACAGTGACTATCAGTTCACATCAGGGAGTCGGATCCTGTTCCCTTTTCTCCCCCCTGGACTCTCATACAGGGTCCTCCAGCAGGACCAGAGGCAGGCCTCACACCCTTAAGGCTTCATCTTTAGGATTTTGATATCATGTCTTTTGGGGTTGTACGCACACAGAGGTTGAGAGAAGTTTGGAATTTCTGCCCCTTAGTAGGCCATGCTGCCTATGGGGTACCCATGAAAGCCTGTACAGTCATGATGCGTTTTATTAAATCGCTATAGCCAGACAATGACAATTATTATACTTTAAGTTACAAATACTTGAAAGGAATAAATTTAATTAATACATACTTTTTTTGTTGTTATTTGAGAGGCAGAGAAACAAAGGTCTCCCATTCACTGATTCACTCCCACATTACCTGGGAACCAGGCTCCCAATCGTGGCATCTCACACCAGTGACAGGGACCCAACTACTTGTGCTGTCACCACTGCCTCGCAGGGTCTGCGTGTGCAAAAAATCTAGAACAGGAAGTGAAGCTGGAACTCAGACCCAGGCACTCTGATAAAAGACGTGGGTGTCCTAACTGTTGTCTTAACCTCTGTGCGGGGCAGCCATACCCAAATATTTTTAAAGTATGGATTTTGTGTTTCTGCTCTATGACTTTTGCTATCTTTAATACACTAAGATTACATCTGATAGAAGTTGGACCTCTGTTGGTGGGGGCCTCACGGCCAGTACCATTCTGGAAGAGTTCCATAGCACATATCACTGCTGGCCTGACAAGGTTCTCACCTTGTGTGATCCGTTCTTTTGCTTCGATGCATCCAAATTTTTTTTTTTAATGCATTCATTGGAGGTATATTGAATCACTGATATCTTAAAAACTACAGATCCATGCCTTATCTGAAACTGCAGTGGTGTTTGTTTTGGAATTCAAGATTTTAACAAAGCTATTGTAGAAAGGTAATATGATGCATCCACCGTAAATAATCTAACAGCCTCAGCAAGGTTTTGCGTGGCATCTGAAATCAACAGCATGAGTATTTCTGCAGCGAATCATATGAATATTCACAGGAGGCAGGACCAGTGGGCACTGGAATAACCCCTGTCCGTAGACCAAGTGTTACCACTGAAAGAGATGGCTGCAATCGCCTAGTAAAAGCTTGCCTGGGCTTTGGATTTAGGACTTACAGATGTGGATCTGGATTTAGAATTTGGCCTCATTAATTCTGCCAATTTAGTTAAAACAATGTTGGCACGGATGTTTTGAGTAATCGGTCTGAAAAGTAACAGGAGATGTTTTTGCTAGAAGGACAAAGGGACCAGAACGATAGGCAGGCTGCCGTCTTATGAAGGAGTGAGGGCGGGGGAATCAATGCCCATTCCTTTGGGTTTTGCAGTTACGTCATTTATCACATAGGCTAACCAGAACAAAGAGGGTTTTTCTGCTTTCAGCCTTTTAAGTGCATCAAAGACAGGTGGCCAGAAGACTGGGCCTTGTTACCCTAATTACATCTTAGCCACAGGGGCCTGGAGGATTTTAGGACAAGAAATGAGGTTGATTTTCTGGGATGATAAACTTACTGTTGTCCTGGTCAGAAAATTTCCCTTCCAGCCCCACACTTCTATGATATCATGCTATCTTCTAATTAAGTATATGGGCAGAAAGCATTTTAATATTTTATGAGCGAAGTAGCTGCATACAGGGCCTGACAGGGAGCCAGTAATTATTCACTCTTTTGAAGATGTTCGCAGCACTAGCCAGCAGCCACTCACAACTCAGGATCTCTTTCCCGCTCCCCCCCACCCCCCGGGTCACCTCCGGAGCTGAAGTTTTCAGCTAAGTCAGGGAAAGGTAAGTCCCGGGAGGCGGGAGAGCTGGCATCTCTTCTTTTGGGCCTGAGGGATGGCCCCTCGCATCTGGAGCTTTTTGAGTATGAGGGGCTTTCTGTTTATCTACTCATATCCCATCACATGACCCGCATGATGAGGTTGCTACCATCAAGAGTTCGCTATCATCAAGAGTAATAACTGCAGGGGGGTAAGTTGGAACAAAGTGGCACTGAAGTTAATAGAATGTCAAGGTATTGCAGAAGTCAATTTTGGTTAGAAGATTTTCTTAGATCTATATGTGCTTGGCTTTGTTAGACAACAGACAGAATTTACAGGAAGTTGGAATCTATAACTTTAGTGAGAGACGCATGCAGGAAAGCAGAGTAGAAGGAATACGTTAGATTCCTGACCACATCAGTGTTGAACCATTTATGGCTGCCCCCAACCAGAACTTTCCTAAGCAATTAGAACTTTATCTTAGACATCATAGCTACTCGATAAATGTGAATATCTGATCAAGTAAGAACATAGTCCTATGATGATCTATAAGAGGTGTAGAAATGTAGTTCATTTGCTGACTACACACACACACACACACACACACACACACACACACACACACACACACAGTATTATGGGCTGAGCCGTGTTTCTTCCAAACTCTAATGTTGAAGTCCCATCCCCTAGAGAGTGCCTCAGAATGTGAGCTTATTTGGAAATAATGTCTTTGCAGGGAAAGCTAATGTAAATTAGGTTATGAGGGCAGGCCCTAACTCGGCATGCTGGGGCTCTTAAACAAGAGGAAATCCATATACTTGCAGAGGGAAGATCGTGTGAAGACATAGGGAAAAGAGGCCTTCTACAAACCTGGATGGGAATTTCAGAAGAAAGCAATGTG